ACACAATAAAGAAAAAAAAAAAAAAAAATATATATATATATATATATATATATATAATGTTATTGTAAATGTTTAAATGCTGTTTTATCATATCATAAAACATAACATTGCACAGAAATGACCAGGAAGCCCTAAAGTAAAAGAGCACAAAAATCCCTTCTGGCAAGATTTAAACGCGTAGCAGCATGTTGTGAGCTCAGATCTGTACATGCCCAACCTTAAAAGCCATGGAAAATTCTAACATCTTTCAGCATTCATAAACGTCTGTTACAGCTAGAGGAAGTAGGCTTAATTATGTGAATATAAAGCAAAGAGGACCACAGAAATGATAACTGTTGGAAAACATGCCAACTAAGATAAACTTTCATGGGCCATTTTCAAAAGGTCCCGAAATATAAATCATTCTAATATGCTGATTTGGTGCTTAAGAAACATTTCTTATGATTAACAATGTTGAAAACAGTTGTCTTGCATAATATTTTTGTGGAAAGCGTTACATTTTTACAGGATTCTATTATGTACAGAAAGTTCAAGAGAAAAGCATTCATTTGAAATAGAAATCTTTTGATCAAACCATTGCTAAATAAAAGTATGAGTTTCTTTAAAAAAAAAAAAAGTTACTGAAAAGCAATTAGTAAACAAAATTTGGGTGAACAAATTTATTTATTTATTTATTCATTCATTCATAAGATATTAAAACTATTAATTAAATCTATTGATTTAACTAAATCTAATTATAAGCTCTAACAATTCTATAAAAAATATGCAATTTAATTATAACATTTAAAAATAATAATTTTAAGTCACCGATTATTTGGGATCCTTCTTTCCGTGTAGTCTTTGGTTGCATGATGGTCATTTTAAAATAGTGGTAATTTCAAGGATTAGTGGTCATTCATTAATCAGTGGTCATTTTAAAGAGCAGTCTTTCTTAAAGGCAAATTCAACTGCTTATAGCACATGTAACCCTTAAGAGACCCATTCAAGCTTACTTTTGAGTACATTTTTAGCATTATAATAGCTATTTGATTATTTTTATTTTTATACAGTGCAGGACCCCAAACATGCAGGAAGTAAAGTCTCAACGGCACATGAGGTTTAAAGGAAGCTCGAATTTCTCATTGCTGTGTCTGGATCAGTGTGTGTGTGTGTGTTGAGGGTGGGGTCAAGACAATGACGTTGTTTCACCAGCCAACAGCTCATTCAGCAGAGGATCTCATGGCTCACACTACATTCTCCCACTGCCTTTTTGCCTTCAAGAGCATGGGGCAGGCTAAGAGGCAAGTCTGTCTGACTCCAGAGGCATTGAAATACTTGTATGGATCTGTATTTTGGAACACACCATGCTTCCACTGATGAACTCCATTCCTTTACCTTGGTGAACCACCTTTAAGTGTTTTAGATTCTACACCCAGAAAGAAGAACAGTCTAATTGAACGCAGTTTTTCTAATATAGAGTTTGCTTTTAAACATGCCAACCTAAGCTAATTCAAGGAAGCTTGGAGAAATTCCAAGAAGATCTACAACAGGAGTTTCGGTATATCTCTGGCAGTAATGGGCACAGAAAACAAAAGTTGCACTGAAAGTCTGAGTGTGGAGCAGAACGGTGGCCCGGCCATCAGCGCGATGATGTTTGCAGCTGGAGTTCTCGGGAATCTGGTTGCATTAGTTCTCCTGGAGTTCCGCAGGAGGAAAGAGAAGAACCGGCAGCGACAGTCTCTGTTCCATTTGCTGCTGACCACGCTGGTTGTTACGGATCTAATGGGAACCTGCTTGATCAGTCCCCTGGTTCAGGCTGCATACTTAACCAACACCACACTAGTTGGGATGAGCGAGACACGTGCGGTGTGTGAATATTTTGGATTTGCCATGACTTTCTTCAGTCTGGCGACGCTCTCCATCCTCCTCGCCATGGCACTGGAGAGGTGCCTCTCCATCGGGTACCCATACCACTATGGGAGGCACGTCACCAAACGCTGTGGATACATCACCGTCCCTTGCATTTATCTAATCTGCTTTTTATTTTGCTTAATGCCATTTGCAGGCTTTGGGAAATATGTTCAATACTGTCCCGGGACATGGTGCTTTATTGCCATGAATCCAGAGGGGATGGAGGACCGGGTTTATGCCAACGTTTATGCCACTGTGATACTGCTTATTGTTATAGTTATAGTGGCATGCAACTGTTTTGTAGTTTACCATCTGGTGTTAATGTACCGGAGGCGCAAAATGAACAGAGGATCAGTGCAGACCCGGAGTAAAAGGGACAGGAGGTACTTCTCATGGGCAGAGGAGGTGGAACACCTCATTCTCCTGGTCTTCATGACGGTCATATTTGTCATTTGTTCCCTGCCATTAATGGTAAGACTTAAAGCATCTTATTAGGATGAATGAAAGTGATCTGCAGTAAATTCAGTAAAAAAATTGACAAGTTCAGGATTATGGAAGTTATGGAACTTTGCTAAATGTAATTTTCATAAGTTGCATTAAGAAAGATAAATGTATATATATACATGATGAAAAGTTGTGTGTGTGTGTGTGTGTGTGTTTATGTATACATCACCGTCCCTTGCATTTATCTAATCTGCTTTTTATTTTGCTTAATGCCATTTGCAGGCTTTGGGAAATATGTTCAATACTGTCCCGGGACATGGTGCTTTATTGCCATGAATCCAGAGGGGATGGAGGACCGGGTTTATGCCAACGTTTATGCCACTGTGATGCTGCTCATTGTTACAGTTACAGTGGCATGCAACTGTTTTGTAGTTTACCATCTGGTGTTAATGTACCGGAGGCGCAAAATGAACAGAGGATCAGTGCAGACCCGGAGTAAAAGGGACAGGAGGTACTTCTCATGGGCAGAGGAGGTGGAACACCTCATTCTCCTGGTCTTCATGACGGTCATATTTGTCATTTGTTCCCTGCCATTAATGGTAAGACTTAAAGCATCTTATTAGGATGAATGAAAGTGATCTGCAGTAAATTCAGTAAAAAAATTGACAAGTTCAGGATTATGGAAGTTATGGAACTTTGCTAAATGTAATTTTCATAAGTTGCATTAAGAAAGATAAATGTATATATATACATGATGAAAAGTTGTGTGTGTGTGTGTGTGTGTATATATATATATATATAATGCATGTATAGTTAAAATATATTACATATAAAAAAGTAAAGGTAAATGTTTTAAACCAGATTTTCACTAAACTACTTAATATTTCACTACTTAACATTAATATCATTAATTACTAAAACCATAAAGAAAATATATTCATATTAATATATATTAATATATTAATATTAAATATTGTTTAAACTGCAAACCTTACTTAGCTAGAGCAATTTCTACTTTGTTTAACCCATAAAATTTGTTTTGTTGGTATAAATTAATGTATTTAGGTTGACTTGACTAAAACCAGTTAATATATAATTTATAATAACTGCAATAAATTGCACAATCATGATATTTATCTATTTATAGATTTGCAGCTGAAGATTTAAAGTCAAGAATTCTTTTTCTTGATTGAATTTAAAATATCACTACTATATATATATAAAATCTCTCTTCTTGCATTGTTTGCTGCTTGAGCCCGTTAAAAGAACAGGATACAACCAGCTGATTAGAATTGGACAAAGTAAATCAAACAACATCATGGATGTCACTGGGCATGTGGATGTTATGGTTTCTAAGTAACCACATATTTATTTCCATGTTCACTGACAGAGTGGAATGGTTATACAAATTAAAAGGATTTGAACCGTCTTGGAGAAGCTGGTATAATATAAATTGCCACAGAAACAACATTATCAGTGCATGAAAGCATTTAGCATTTTGAAAATGACACTACAGCTCACTGAGATCTAGTGTTTCTATGGAACAAACCCAAGATCTTGGTGGCACATGACATGTTTCCATAATCATTTCATCTCCCCGCTTCTGGAACAACAATAAGTTTCAGTGTGAGATTTAGATAGCTGGAGTGTATTTTTCTTCGAGTGTTTTATGAAATTCTTGTGAAAAGCAATTAGGCTGTGGTTGTCTTGTCACACACAAACACTCTTGGTGCTGACAGACTGATATTGTTTTATACAGTCTAGCTGAAACCAGACTCAAACACCCCTCACTCACCCTTCAGTGATCTGGAACAATGCTACCCACATTAATTATGTACAAATGATAATTAACAGTAGGTGAAAAGACATTAAAGTATTACAGTTTATTATTTGTGGCTCCTTATGACTCAGAGCTCATTGCAAACTTATTGCTGATTCACTGGTTTGAATTGAATTTCAGCATAAATTACAAGTAATATAATTTCACATCCCAGCAGCCCACTGACTAAATTTGTGGTACGGGTTAGTAGGTAAATGCAATGATGGACGGCTCCAGTCTGGTGAAAGGTTACGCAAAATCAGAACAATCAGATTTCATAATAACTTCCTTAGGATTTGATGCTATGTGAGAAAAATAGAAATGTATTTATTTATTTTTTATGTATATTTGCACTGATAAACTTGACTAAACTTCTAAAAAAAAAAATACGTTTGTTTGCGTCAATCTTTACGCTTACACAAATCAAACTACAACTGTTTGATTGTAGTCTACAGCTTACAGTGGTCTCTGCATACTAAAATGGGAGAGGAAAAAATATTTGAACATGCAAAGAGATAATCCCACATTAGCTTTCCAGTTTGATGAAATGCAGTGCATGAGAATTTCATAATACATTCATCATACTTGACAGTCTGCAAAAACAATTCTCCTGACCAAACAACTCTATTAATAAAAAAAAAATGGTCAGAATTAGTCAAAATGCATTTTTGTGTGTGGTAGAAGAATAAGACAAAACAAAGGCTTTTGTCATAAAAGACTATGAGCAGAAGTAAACAAACTTTGGAAAATAGGAATAACATGAATAATTTCTGCTCTGTTATGCATCTGTTATTTTTATGAGAATAAACTGAAATGATCCAAAGTTTTTAAAATGACATTATGACTCATTGATGGGAAGTCCAAGATGAAGACATCTAGAGAGTGAGTTATATATATATTACTGCTTGCATGGGTGACAGAAAGCGCAAACCCAGGTTTTGTCAGACTGTGCCGTGGTTACTCTTGTTTATGTTTTTGAGTTGCTCATACACACCCAAAATCTTATGTGCCCACATAATTGTCTCAGTTCAGTTATAGCTGAAATCTGAGTAAAAGCAAAAGCTCCTTAAATTGGAATCAATGTGAGAAATGACTGTTAAGTCTCTTGCACAACCACGTCGCTGTCATTAATATTGATAAATGAGCTCTGAGTCTTATAAGCATGTCAACAATTATAATGGTTTCTCACTTAACCGATTAGATATGATTTGTGGGATGTGGAAAAGGACATTAATTATTAAAATCATAAATGCAAAACTATACTTTGGACCAGAGAGTGTATACAGAGGCTCCACATATCTCACCACAACGCTTTCATTATAGTTAGTGCTAGCAGCTTTACACAACATGTACTGTAAATGATGATTTTACATGCTGCTTATTTGTGATACACAGAAACTATGACTAATTATTAATAAATAATTAAATAATTAGTCGTTTATTTTTTCATATAAGAAGTAGCATTTTAAAGACATTTAAAATTTGCAAACTATCTATCTATCTATCTATGCATCATATTAGAGTGAACTTATTATGTCTACATTGAGCAGAAATCAGATCTGTATTTGTTGATATTTTTGCTGAAAAATAAATATCCATTTTTCCTGCTTGACATTTGATATGATTTATTGAAATATATTGAAATGGTTTCTTTGGCAAATCTCACAGTGCTGTGCTCGGAAAAATCATTGCCTATGACAGCATCATCTGAGAAAGTGCCATGTGTGGTTAAGGATGGATGACACTTCTGAATTACCTTCTTCTTCTCTCTAGATCCGTGTGTACATCAACTCCATGGGAAAGCCTAGAGGCAGCAACAAGACTGATCTCATAGCTCTGCGGTTCCTCTCGGTCAACTCCATTATCGACCCCTGGGTGTTCATCATCCTCAACCCCTCGGTTTTGCGCTTCCTGTGGGGGGCGCTGTGCAAGTCCAGCTTCGTGCCCTCCAGAAACTCCCTGTTCAAAACGTCCATTACCAAAAACCCAGCATGCCAAATCGAGCTGTACCAACCCACTTCCACCTCTGTGGAGACCACACACCTCAACAAGTCAACCGTTCAGAAGATCTGACGTGATGTGGACAGTATTTATGGACTAGACGGATCCATCTAAAAATCAATATGCTTTGGAAGGCAAGGTTTTCTTTCTATTCTATCTATCGTTCTGTCTATCTAAGAACATCTTAAGTGATTTGTCTGCCATAAGTAAGGGCGATCTGGTTTGTTTGTTAATCTAAAAATGGATTTAGAAACCCCCTTAGGTCCTTTAACTGAGTGAGATAAAGCCAACTGTGAGGTCAAAGGGGTAAGTTATGTTCCCTCAACTATGACATTAATTGTTTTGAGACCGAGGGCCCTGTCAACTATGATTGCCAGAAGAACTTGAAAAATGTTCAAGGCATGTTGAGTGGGCGTTCAGTCATGGAGGATAGTCCAGTTTTGAAGATGATATTCTGTGTTTGGAATGACTGAAGACAGAGGAACCATCCTGAAGCTACCGTTCCACAGTCATTGCTCATCCAGGTTTCCTTTTTAGGGGGGGGGGGTTGTGCTTTCAAACAGGTCAAATGGCATGTCCAAGCAGTATTTCACTTTGGACACTTTGTTGTCAAGTGAATCACGTGACGAGGTTTCCTGCATTTCAAGTCAAGGAGTTCTTCAAATGTTACATATGAAAGCTGTCTGCTTGTATTTATATTATCAACATATTTATTGTGCTTTGATTTATGTTGATACAACAGTAAGTCAATGACATATATGTGTCTTCATACGTATGTCGACTGACATGGTTCAGTAGTAATCAGTCATTTCTTTCATGTGAGAGATTCCGATTGTACATAATTGTATATAATTAGTATAAGCATATAAGCATGACGACATGCGTGGCGCCGTTCAGTAGTTACAGACCTATTCTTTGTGTCAAGATACTTGTTTTTCGGTGCCTTTGAGGCTCTTGAATGTACTTGTGAAATAATGTGACTCATTATTACTAGTGTTGTCTATGCTTGTAATTTATGTTTAAGTGTCATGAAATTGTCTGTTAAATGTAACATTCTATTAACATCATATCTGTCCTAACGCACAGCGAGAAGGATCACAATGTGAAGTAGGATTGTGTGTGATTTTAAAGGGGTCATATGATGCTATTTTAAAGATCATT